TGTTGAATTATTCAACTCCATAGCTTTTGCTTGATACTTTTAAATTATTTCAATCTCTTTGTTAAATTTATTTAATAGGATCCTGCTATCATTCTATTGATATTATATATCACATTGATTGATTTGTATATATAGAACCATCCTTGCATTGTTGTGATAAATCCCATGTGGTCATAATGAAATATCTTTCTAATGTGATGCTGAACTCAGTTTGCTAGTATTCTGTTGAAGATTTTTGCATTAATATTCATCAGGGATATTGGCCTGAACTTTTCTTTTTTTAATGTGTCTTTGCCTGGTTTTGGTATCAGGTTAATACTGGCTTTTTGGGTTTCCTCAGAACAGCTATTTTGAATTATTGGGCTGAAAAGTCGCATGTCTTTGTCTTTCCAGAATTGGTTCCTGGTGCCTTATTTGCTTCATTTGGTGAGGTCATATTTTCCTGGATGGTGTTGATTCTTGTGGATATTCGTTGATACTTAGGCATTAAATAGTTAGGTATTTATTGCAGTCTTCACAGTCCGGGCTTATTTGTACTTGTCTTTTTTGAAAAGGCGTTCCAGGTATTTGGAGGGACTTGGATGTTGTGATCTAAGATTTTGTTCACTGCAGCCATTATCTGCATTAGAGGGCACCCCAAACTCAGTGAGGCTGTGGCTCTTGCAGACTCATAGAGGAACCACCTTGGTGGTTTGGATAAGATCTTGAAGAATTCTCTGGATTACCAGAGACCTGTTTTTTTTTCCCCTTATTCTCTCCCTGAAAAATGGAATCTTCTTCTCTATGTTGAGCTGCCTGGAGCTGGGAAGGGAGAGTGATATAGCACCCCTGTGGTCTCTACCACAGAGACTGCACTGGGTTAGACCTGAATCAAGCACAGCACTAGGTGTTGCCCTAGGCTTGCAGTAATCATTTTCTGGCTACTGCCAGTTTTCATTCAAGGCCCAAGGGCTCTACAATCAGAAGGTGGTGAAGCCAGCCAGGCTTATGTCCTTTTCTTCAAGGTGACAGGTTCCCTGGACCTCTGGTGGGTACAGAGATGTTGTTCAGGACCCAGGGCTTGGAGTCAGGATCTACTCACTCTTCCCACAAATAGAAGAGTCTCTCTGTGGCCACCAGCAGCCCTGCTCCATAGTGAGTTTTTCCTGGCTACTGCTAATGTTCACTCAAGGCTCAAGGCCTCTTCAGTTAGCTTATGGTGAATGCTGTGAGGCCTGGTCTCTCCCTTCAGGGCAACAGGCTATTCTCTGGCCCAGGGTAGTTCAGAGATGCCATCCAAGAGCCAGGGTCTGCACTTGGGGACCCCCAAGAGCCTGCTCTATGATCTACTCCACTGTGGCTGAGCTGGCATCTAAGTTGCAAGACAAGTCCCATTTACTTTTCTCTCTGCTCTTTTTGAGCAGAAGTAGTCTCTACCCATAGCCACCACAGCTAGGAAGATTCTGGGTCATATCTGAAGCCAGTATGCCTCCGAGTGTCACGCAATGCCCACAGCATGTACTGCCTGGCTACCAGTGCTGCTTATTCAGGGTCCAAGGACTGTTTATTCAGCAGTTGATGACTCCTGCCACATCTGGGTCCATCTCTTCAAGGCAGCAGGTTCCCTTCTGGCCCAGTATGTGTCTAGAAATGTCTGGGAGCTAAGGCCTGGGTGGAAGCCTCATGACTTTGCTTTAAATGGAAATTACTTCATAGACTCTGAGCTATCGTGATTAAGGGCATGTAAAACTCACTTAAAGTGATTCTGTCTCCCGGAAGTTTTCAAACAAAATTTTGCAATGTAGCTTTTTCTTGGCTTTAAAGTGACTCATTCCAAATGGCATTCCTGTCCCTATCCCTCCCTCTGCCCCTGACTCTGTGCTCAGGGAATAGATATGTGATAAGCATGCATTATTCTTTAAGCCTTCCAATTATATTTTTACAAGTTTGGCATTGAATTCTCAGCAAGTTTTTAGTTGTGTAGTATTTTATAATTTTTTAAAATGGTTTACTCAGTTTAGACTGATTTAAGGTAAGTTACCTTTAAGCATTTGTCAGTACAGGGGCTTGGAGTTCATCATTTTTGGCCATGTGCCTTCCTCTATTCTCAGTAGCTATTAATGGAGCAACTGGAAAGCAACAGAACCATTACAGTATGTTCTGACCCTCTGTGACTTCTGCAGAGCTGCGCTGTTGTGTGAATCTTCTCAGCTCTTTACTCTGTGATACTTTACTCTTTTATGCCTGGGGATAAATAGAGAGACATACTTTTAAAAAATGCCTAGACAACTGGTGAAATTTGTGAGACCTTTCTTTGTGCTCCTAAAGTAGCAATAACAATAGCAAGATGATCTATCCACAAGAGTATAGCATTCATGAGATTACACTGAAATTGTTCAATCATGAGGGGAAGCAGAATACATTGAAACAATAAGAGAAGAATGTAAAGGAATCTTCTAACCTTGGATTTCTTATCTGTAATGCTCATGGAAATAGCTTCGGAAAGGAAGGCATGGGAACAGGATGAGTGAGCTGGCTTTAATCCAGCTGTGGTGAGGGATCACTGCAATCCATATATGGCTTGTTCCTGGACTAAGGGAAGAGCTGCACAGCCTACCTACGAATTATGCTGCCATAAAAAAAAAAAAAAAACAAAAACAGCTGCTCATCTCCCTAAGAGGCTGTCAGCACCAGGCAGTCCTCAAAAGAACTACTGTGTCTCCTTCCATGTAGTTCTGATAAATGCTTACCATTACAACTTTTTCACTGATTTTTTATTTCTTATTTAATTTTTATTTTTTCAAAAGGAGCATTTTGGTATTATATGCTTTTGTTTATGAATGAAGAAGTACAACCAATATAACCATAGAATGATTTTTTATATACTTTCTATATCATTTTATATATTATTTAGGCCAGCTTAAGAGATAGCAGCTAATTACATGCTGTGCAGAGGAGAACAATTCAGTTTAGTATGTGTTTTTAGTGTTACAGTTGACAAACCAATGAAAAAGCATACCTGAAAGTTAATAACCAGTCACTATGATGGATGGGATATGGAAAAAAGAGCCAGGCATTTAACAGCAGATTATATACATTATATCATGTAATCCTCACAACAAATCTCTGGTATAAGGATAATTATTCCCATTTTAGAGATGGGAAACCAAGGCATTTGTAAAGGAAAGGAGATGCTTTGGAAATGAATCACTGTTATTCTAGAGGCCAAAATAGAAGCATGGCATTAGTATGTACTTGACAGTTCTTAGAAAAGTCTAATTATTTAAGTCAGAAATGGCTTTGTTTATGGACAGAACATATGGTCACCTGAAAGATGCAATTTATGAGATACTGAAGTCCTCACCTTCTGAGATAATGAATATAGTTACTAGTGTGTTCAAATGAAGTCCATGCCAACTAGCTAGCTTCATAAATTCAATCTGAGAATTGCTAAATGATGATTCTTTTTGAATAACATAACTACAAAAAGGAAATATTGCTTATATTAACTCTTTTGAATCTTACTACCATCATGAAGACAAGCAATGAAGACATTGCCATTCTCATATTATAGACAAAAACCAGAAAACAACAACAACAACAAACAGAATTCCAAGGAGTGGGTTCTAATCCCACAGTCCACCAAACAGGCCTTCTTTGCCTTCTGAACTCTATCTTTGGAGTGGCTCCTTTAGCTCAGTATTTCCAATCTTCTCGGAACCAGGAATACGTATTTTTCAAAACAAGCGTTCCTACCTCAAGTAAGTTTGGGAGAAGTGTGATGTCTTATCCCTTTCTTGGAGATTCGCAGTGCACATGAATATAACAGAAACCTTGACATAAAGATACTTGGTTAACTTGTTTAATAGGGCCTTTCCCATAGACGTTTCATCGTTAACATTTCTTTTTGGTGTTATGGTTTAGGAGATGTTACTTTATCCCTTGTGTACATAATAGATGAGAAGAAGTAGTGATTGAAGACAAAGGCATAGAGAACCCAAAGGCTATGAGATGGGATTTGTTCTTGTACCCTCTGCAGTGCTTCACACATGACTAACATCAACAGTATTTGTGAGAGGAAAAGTAGTGTGTGAGTTCTCAAGGCTTAAGGCAGAGCTGATCAGTAACCAAGGTAGCCATCAGGTAGAAATTTCTTTGAGTATCTGAAGGTTATCTGAGGGTCTTTGTCCTTATAAAGTTGACCCAGATCTTTTTTAAAAAATTTTTTATTTTTTATTTAGTTATTTTTTTGAGATGGAGTCTCACTAGTGGCATGATCTTGGCTCACTGTAAACTCTGCCTCCTGGGTTCAAGGGATTATCCTGCCTCAGCCTCCCAAGTAGCTGGGATTACAGGCATGTGCTACCATGCACAGCTAATTTTTTGTATTTATAGTAGAGACAAGGTTTCACTGTGTTATCCAGGATAGTCTTGATCTCCTGACCTCGTGAATTGCCCACCTCAGCCTCCCAAAGTGCTGATATTACAGGTGTGAGCCACTGCGCCTGGCCAACCCAGTTCTTATATTGGGTCTCTAGGGACAAAGCTTTGTCCCTTTTTACATGGCTTGGTATCCATAAAATCATCTTCATCACTAAACACATTTTAATGTCTGTTTCAAAGGGATATTTCAAAAAGAAAAGTATATTTTATATCTAAATTGAGGCTATTCTGTAAGTGCTCATATTTTCCAGCCACCCAGTACCCTCACTGGCATTCTGGGGCTGTTTCATAGAGCCGTGTTCATTTATTATCTAGTACAAATAGTCTCAGGAAGTAATACTGAAACTTATTAGTGGCCTTTGCAGTTTTCTGTTTCAGCAGGTTAGAGATGCTACTTTGTTAAGATTTTATTAACAGATCCCTGCAGAGGTGAAATATTCCAGTTTTTTGCCTTTTAATGTCCCTGGATTCATGGATAAAGACCTGAGGGGTTAGCTGTGAAAGATAAGATAAAATAAAGGAAATACAAACATTGTAATTTTATTTGTTCAACCATCCATTAATTCATTTATTCACAGATTGAAAAGTATGGATTCCCACCTGATCTTACACTCACCCCTCAAGAAAGCATCCAGCTTTATGATACCATGGTTCAAGTCTGGGAAACTTGGCCCAGGGCTTAGGTAAATATAGAAATATATATTCATGGAAACTAACTTCAGTTAATTCTATTCAAGAATATGGCAAAATTACTCTGCAGGTAAGTACACTTCTCCTCTCTACTTGGTTGATGCTGCTATTTTGAAATAATTAGTTATTTTTTCTGATTCTCAGACATTCTTTGTGACTTTATTATCATATGTAACATGAAATATTCTATAATTCTCGAAAATATTTATTCTTTTAGCTTTTGGGATGCCATATTACTTTAGTTGTGTTTTTGGACTTAGATTCCTCCATTCCCTTCTCTGTTCATTTTCATCTTCTTGTCAGCTGTGCCTTATATTCTTTCATTTGACGAGCTCATCCATCATCATAAGTTTATGTGTTAGAAATTGTGGGGAGGCAAAAAGATGTTTAATAGCCTCTGACCTCGGGAGTTTGCAATTTGGTTAAGGAGACAAGTAAACTCAAACACATCATTGTATTTTTCTTACTATATAGATCACATAGCTTTGCTTAATTTTGTGATAATTCCCACCCCCAAGGAATTGTGTCCAGAGGAATTTGTTCTTTTTAAGAATAAAGTGGTCATTAAGAAGTTGGATGTTAGAAAATATGAAGAAAACTTAAAGGCAGAATTAACAAATTGGATTAAAAATGGCAAAGTGAAGCAGGTAATTTTCACAGTTTCTCGGACAAAGTTTCGCTTAACTGTTAATTGTTTGGAGTTGCATAATAATTTAGCCAATGACAGTTTTGTAATCTTTTTATTCCAATTTTTATTTTTGTAATTCCTTTTAAACATGTTATCTAGTGAGTCTGAGGTAGAAAAAAGGAGGAGGGGACTGGTTTCATATCTTAGCTCAGTGCCCTTTAAAACATGTGCCACAGAGGCTGGGCGTGGTAATCACACCTGTAATCCCAGTACTTTGGGAGGCTGAGGCAGGTGGATCACGAGGTCAGTAGATTGAGAACATCCTGGCCAACATGGTGAAATCCTGTCTCTACTAAAATACAAAAAAATTACCTGATGTGGTGGCATGCGCCTGTAGTCCCAGCTACTTAAGAGGCTGAGGCATGAGAATTGCTTGAACCCAGGAGGCAGAGGTTGCCGTGAGCCAAGATCATGCCGCTGCCCTCAGCCTGGCCACAGAGCATGACTCTGACTCAAAAACAAACAAACAAACAAAACATGTGTTGTAGGCTTTTGGTTTCTTCGGTAACAGCTACAAACAGCTAAAAATAGAGAACCCTTGACTTTAACAGGAGAACCAATATTGCTGAGGGAATCAGGAATTAGCACAGGGGCTAACCTAAGTAAGATTTTGTGCAAATAAAAATAAATTATATAAAAATAACCAATTTCTGAAACTCATGTACATGATGATAAATGAGAAAATTTAAGTATACTTGAAAGAGGCTTAGGCAAATTTACAGATGACAGACTCGGGTGGCTATGCTGAGAAGCAAAGATATCCTTGAGCATTAAGGTTGATGGATCTTTGATTCTAGTTTGCTGACTGAGTATCATGTTTATTTGCCTTTTTTTCTTCAGAGATAAAAGAAATAAAGACAAAAATGATGTTTGTTGGCCAGGTATGGTGGCTCACACATATAATTCCAGCACTTTGGGAGGCTGAGATGGGCGGATCACTTGAGGCCAGGAGCTCCAGACAAGCCTGGCCAACATGGTGAAACCCCATCTCTATAAAAATACAAAAAATAGCCAGATTTTCTGGTGTATGCCTATAATCCCAGCTATTCTGGTGACTGAAGTGTGAGAATCACTTGAGCCTGGGAGGCAGAGGTTACAGTGAGTCGAGATTGTGCCACTCTACTCGACTCTGGGCAACAGAGGGAGACTCGTTCTCAAAAAAAAAATGGTATTGATATAAGGGAATATTACAAATAATTTAGCCTGTTTGGCACAGAATGCTATGTTCCATTAAATGTTAATCAGGGGAAAATTGAATACCAAGGATGTCCCTACTCTCTACCCCTCAAATGATAATTAAAATGGAAAATGAGTTTGTCAAGAAAATGTATTCATGATAGCACTTAACTATTTCATCAATGTTTTTCCATTGTATAGTATGTAAAGGAATTTAATGTTAATTTTCCTGATGTAAAATAACATTTTTTTCTGATTAAAAATGTTGTAGATGCTGTTTATAAAAATTTATAAGGCTGGGCGCGGTGGCTCACTCCTGTAATCCCAGCACTTTGGGAGGCCGAGGCGGGTGGATCACGAGGTCAAGAGATTGAGACCATCCTGGTCAACATGGTGAAACCCCGTCTCTATTAAAAATACAAAAATTAGCTGGGCATGGTGGCATGCGCCTGTAGTCCCAGCTACTTGGGTGGCTGAGGCAGGAAGATTGCTTGAACCCAGGAGGCAGAGGTTGCAGTGAGCCGAGATCATGCCACTGCACTCCAGCCTAGCGCCTGGCAACAGATCAAGACTCTGTCTCAAAATAAATAAATAAATAAATACAATAAAATAAAATATGGAATAGCAAGATAAAAATTACCACCCAGAATTTCAACAGTATCTAAAGTGAACAACTTATTGTACTTCTGTTGATCACTCTGTGACTTACTCTTTTTTTTGAATTTTTAGTTAAGCATTATAAATATGCCTCTATACCTTTTCAAAATATTGGTAGATATAGTTAAAAACTTTTTTTTTAAATTTTAAGAGGTTCTTTTCCACTGTTGATTTTATATACTTCTCAACATATTTGGCAGGTATTTTGCCATCTAATAATTGGAGAAACTCTTTGTCACTCTCCCTGCAACAGTTGAAACAGCAACATTTTCTGAACGTCTTTATCCTACTGACTTGTAGTGCCTACAAAAACATCATATATTTATATATTTTTTGTCTATTCTTTAATATAGACATGTCTGTGACTCCATTGACTTTTTACCACTACTTGATAGTATATTATAAAAGGACTATTTTTAAAACCAACAAAAGACTATATATGAAAAATGCTTCTAATTTTAGAAAACGAAATAATCCCTTTCTCTCTTCTGTTTCTGCAAATTCTTCTTCTTCTTCTAGTTCTTCTTCTTTTTTTAAATAATTTTAACTTACTACTCTAGGTCAAAAGAGTACTGGAGAACCTTAGTCCAGATTCATCGTCTAGTTCAAAAGATATGGTAAACATGTTTCCTCTTCTTGTTGAAAAGTTAAGGCAAATGGATAAGTTACCTGCAATATTTTTTTTGTAAGTATTTGAAACTTAATTTATCTTTGTTTATATGTGAGACTTTTTTGATTGGTTTTGTTTTCAATTAGTCTCATTTGTATATAAATGAGAAGTAAGCCTATTTTTACTAGTTTGTTGCATTTTTAAAAAACAATATAGATGTTATTTTTAAAGAAATGGGTCAGCCTTCTAGGTCAATCCTCATAACATTTTTCATCTTAATTCCATGACTCTTGATTCTTAAAAATGTTTTTTGTTTTTCTAATTGTTTTTTGTAAGTAGCTATCATTAAATTTAGAAATGTTTTTTTAGGAACTAAATTGATTTTTTTCATGTACAGAGGTCAAACACATAAAGCAGTCAAAATTTATTGAATGTTTGGTTTTAATTTATAGCCAAGAAAACCAAGCTCAGAGGCATTCCTTGGTATCGTGTGACATAATAAAAAGACCTTGAGTAGTATTTAGCATCTCTCTCTGATTGGGAGAACTTAACTGGAGCACATTAAGTAGGTAATGCTATGTACCCTGGACCCATTCTCATAATCAGAACCAAAAAACGTATTTAGCCAAGAGAATTTTAAATTATTGTAACTACAGAAGTTTTGTATAAAATAAATTCCCAGCACCTTGATCCAATGGTAATACGAAATCATTTGCAAAGACAAATACACAAACACATAGGCATGCGGATATGTTTAATGGTAGTACTAAGCCACATGGGTATTGTTATGCATCCAAAGTTGGTGCTGGTGGTGAGTAAATAAAACATGATGATGAGAGAAATTAAAGAGCAGATGACTGAAGTCACAAATGTGGGGAATTACAAGAAAATTTCTTCTTTTGTGCTCGGACCAAGGTAAACAAATGAAGTATTCTACCAATATGTTACAATATCTATATAGATTACTCTTGCAGTGTGGCTCTGAATTTTAGTTAGAAACAAATGTACTCCTATATAGCACTGAGGCATGGCTGAAAAAATGACTTTGGGATAGGAGTCTAAGTAGAAATGGGATTCATTCTTTGTACCCTGGTATACATCTACATTTTAAAAATATTATTATTTTTATTGTACTATTAAGTTCTGGGGTACCTGTACAGAACGTGCAGGTTTGTGAATAGGTATTTTAAATGTTTGGGATTGAGGTCTTTGCTGCTTGAATGGAGTCTCCAGTTGTCTTTTAACATATGCTTCAGAAATCCTAGGTTGAGTCTGCTGTTTTGTACCACCAGAACATTGAGAACTCTATGACAGTTGGTTTAGGCTCAAGCTAATCAACTTCCCTTCCTTAATCTGGACTCCAGAAAACGTGCATGGTGCATGTTTTGTGTCTGGTGCCCATGTAGAGGCAGAGTCAGGAGCATACACGTTGGGTCAGATCTTAGCTTAAATTCCAGCTCTGCCCTCCTCTGGCTATGTGGCTTCTGAATATCTGTTTACCCACTTGCAGCCTCATTTGAAAAATGGAGATAATAACTAATTTGTTGGGTTGTGTTGTGGATTAAACAAAGTAATTTCTATAAAACACTTAACTCATCAGTAGAAAACATGACTGATTGAGGCCCGATCACTAGACATTTTTTTTTTTTTACACTGGACTCTTGTCATAGGTGATCAGAGAGATTAAAGAAGGAAAATTAATTCTAGGTGAGCTAGTTTGTTTATTTTAAAGCAGTAAGAAGAATCATTTAATATTATCATTTAAGACACTGTTTGCAACCAGTAATATATGGGCATTGCATATTAACTTGTGTTACTATGAACAGGGAGGCAAAATTAAAAGTACAGTAAAAAATACAGCCTATACTGCAGTAAGCCACGGTTGCACCACTGCACTCCAGTCTGGGTGGCAGAGAAAGAGCCTGTCAGCCTGTCTCAAAAAAAAAAAAAAAAAAAAAACCAGCCTCTGAAGTTGAAGCTGAGTTGCCTGGGTTCTAACTGCAACCTGACCAGTAGGCTATGTAACCTTGAAGACATTTCAAAATTTCCTTTGGAATTTACTTCCTCATCTGCAAAACAGAGATAATATTACCTTCCTCATAACGTCATAGTAGAGATTAAATTAGTTAATGTATTTAAACCACATAGAACTTGGTGATTGCTTGCTATTATTATTATTTTTTTCTTACCGTGTATAGTAGACTTTCCTAGTCTTTGTTTCTTCAGTGTAATAATTTAATGCTCATCAGCTACATAAGATTCCTTTTCGAAGTCTGTTTTCTAAACATGCTAGTAAATCTGTGGCCTCACAAGTAATATTTGAAAAACTCTGTGGAGAACTCAGCCTATAATGAGTGTAATATTACTGGATGTTCCATACATTAAGCCAAAAGATTTTTTTTCTAGCAAATTACATGTCAAGATGATTGCAGTAGATGGACATATGATGTTGTCAAACTCCCCAAAATATTTGAAGAGATTCATTCTGAGCCAAATATGAGTGACCATGGCCTGTGACACAGCCCTCAGGAGGTCTTAAGAACATGTGCCCAAGGTTGTTGGGGTACTGCTTGGTTTTATAATTTTAGGGAGATATAAGACATCAATTAAATACATTTAACATACACATGGGTTTGATCCAGAAAGGCGGGACCACTCAAAGTTGGGGAGGGAGGCTTCCAGATGATAGGTAGATTTAAAAGTTTTCTAATTGGGAATTGGTTGAAATGGTTATCAACAGAAAGGAATGTCTGGGTTATAAGAGGCTGTGGAACCGGGGCCTGTTGGGGGTTGGGGGGTTAGGGAAGGAATAGCAGGGGGTGGGGGGATGGGGAGAAGTAGCATTAGGAGACATATCTAATGTAGATGATGGGGTGATGGATGCAGCAAACCACCATGGCATGTGTATACCTGTGTAACAAACCTGCACATTCTGCATGTGTACCCAAGATCTTAAAGTATAATAATAATAATAATAATAATAATAATAAAAGGTTGTGGAGACCAAAGTTTTAGCAGGCACACAAAGCCTCCAGGTAGCAGGCTTCAGAGAGAATAGATTGTGGATGTTTCTTATCAGACCTAAGTTCTGTGTTGATGTGAATGCTGGAGGGTACAGTGAGGCGTGTGCGACCCCCACTTCCCACTGTGGCTTAAACCACTCTTTCAGTTTACATTTTAGAGTGCCCTGGCCTAGGGTGAAATCTATTCAGATGATTGAGGGGCCGTATAATTTTATTTTTGGTTTACTATATGAATATAGTCTTTTCAAAGCACTGTTTTCATTTGTTATAAGGTTTAAGAATGGTGATGTGGAAAAAAGAGCTGGAAGTATGTGTGCTTTTCTGGAGAAGACAAAGACAAAAAGCCATCCCCACCCTGAGTGTCATCGTTATATTCTTGATATAAATGAAGAACTTACAAAAATTGAAAGAATTATGAAGGAAGAAGAAAAGATGTAAGTATTAATATTTACTTAAACAAATTGGCCCCTGAAGACTTAAAATATTCATAAGTCACTGTCAGAAATGTTTAGAGACCTGAGCCACAAAGGGGTCCTGGTTATTGTTTCACAGTTTTTACAAATAGAGTAAATTTGGGTGGGAGGATGGGAGGAAGGGAATCCCTCTTATACATGTAGATAGGGTTCATTTTCATTTAGGAGTCAGGAGAGGTGAAACCACAACCTGTAAGCCTGAGAATCAACTGGGCCTCCTGGGAGGCCCTCAGCCTTCTTAGCCGTAACCTGCATTCATGTTCCCAGGCCACAACCTGGAGGTTTCCTGGTCTGTAGAATGCTTATTCACTATTGGTGGGAGTGTAAATTAGTTCAACCATTGTGGAAGACAGCGTGGTGATTCCTCAAAGACCAAAAGACAGAAATACCATTCAACCCAGCCACCCCACTGCTGGGCATATACCCAAAGGAATAGAAATCATTCCATCATAAAGATGTGTATATGCATATATTCATTGCAGCAGTATTCACAATAGAAAAGACATGGAATCAATCTAGATACCCATCAATGATAGACTAGATAAGGAAATTGTGGTACATGTACACCATGAAATACTGTGTAGCCATGAAAAATAACGAGATCATGTCCTTTGCAGGGACATTGATAAAGCTGGAGGACATTATTCTTAGCAAACAAACACAGGGACAGAAAATCAAATACTACATGTTTTCACTTTTAAGTAGGATATAAATGACGAGAACACATGGACACATAGAGGGGAACAGCACACACTGGGGCCTATGAGAAGGTGGAGGGTGGGAGGAAGAGGGAGAGAGAGGATTGAGAGAAATAATGAATGAGAACTAGGCTTAATATCCGGGTTATGAAATAATCTGTACAACAGACTCCCATGATACAAGTTTACCTATTTAACAAATCTGCACATGTACCTCTGAACTTAAAACTTAAAAACCAAAGGATATATTATAGAACGAATTGCCATACCAATTGTATGCTAGGGGTAGAACTTCACTGCTGTGATTTTTTATTTCCCCAAGGTCTGATTAATTCTGACAGTTCTATGGTCAAAATGTTCTTCTGTCATTGCCATCCTCTCAATCCTCACTTACTGGCTCTGAGTTGGTTCAGGTCCTTGCCATTTGTTATTTGGGATTTTCTAGAGTCTTTCTCATGTGTAATTTCTTGTTCCAGGTTTACCTCTTCCAATGTTATTGACATACAGTTACTGGTCTGATTGTTCTGTTATGGGATTCTTGGGGTATTGCTTTTCTGGCTAGAAATCTCTGCGGCCAGTGGCACCATTGCTGCACCCAGCCAGGCATGCCAGCTGTAGAGAGGCTGGCAGCTCCAGGCACTGGCACAGGCACCAGCTTCCTGTATGGCTGCAGCTGGACCAGGAGTACTGCAAGCAGCTTCCATGGCTGGCACTGGGGAACATGGTGGTACCCAGAGATGCCAGGAACTGCAGGGCCCCAAAAAGGGTTTCACAGCCCTGGCTTGGGGAGCTCCTAGGTCTGGGCTTCTCTAAAGGCTGCAGCTCTTCTCTCTTTCTCTCTTCTCTCCTTCTTGAAACCCACAATGTGGCAAGCAAGGGCAATGTGGCAAGTGTTTTAGCACTGTTTGTGTTATAGCTCTTTTAGCCTTGCCATTTGGTGGGTCACAAGTTCTAGTCCTGCATCCAGGAAGAATGAGGTACACAGACAAGTGGAGGCTGAGCAAGGTGAAGAAGAGTATTATTGACCAATGGAACAGCTCAGAGGAGAACTGCAGTGGATAGCTTCTCTCTGGAAGTGGGGTGTCCCGATGAGTATTGAGCTCTTAGCAGAGCAAAGACCCTGGAGTGGGTTACTCCTCTCTGCAGGCAGGTAATCCTGTCAAGTACTCAGCTCTCAGGAGAGAGGAGACCCTGGAGTGGGTTGCTCCTTTTTGCAGCTGGTCATCCTGTCGAGTCCTCAGTTCTCAGCTAAGAAGAGGTCCTGGAGTGGGTAACTCCTCTCCACAGCTGGTGATCCTGACATCTGCTCAGCTCTCAGGAGAGAGGAGACACTGGAGTCTCTCTGCAGCTAGTCATCTGTTGAGTCAAGTCTGGCCGAGTCTGAGGTTTTTATGGGCTGCAGAGGGGAGGAAGCATGTGCTGACTGGTCCATGGGAGGTCACAGGCAGGCCCAGAAAAAGCACCATAAGTTCCAACTTCAGTCCACAGGACTGGCAATTCAGCCCCCAGATTTCAAGCCCCAGCTTGAAGGTGGGACTTCAGGTAGGCGCTTTAGCATGGCATTCAAGGGTCACCATGATTTGTTCCCTGCCTACCTCTGTGGCATCATCATCATTTCCTGCCACTCCTCTGTGGTAAGTCTCTATCTCACCAGAGTTCTCCTTGCATGAATCACTTTCCACCACCCGAGTCTATGTACTAGGCACTGCATCTACCTGGTGGGCCTTCCTTTCTGTTAGCTCATACATCTGTTCGTTTCTCCCACATCTTTTGTTTTAAATCTTTCTTCTCTCTGAAGTTTATAATGATTCCCTGAGATAGATTTATTACCCTTTGTCTTTCATTCTCATTCTACTTTGAATCATTGAAGCATTTGGATCAGTGATAACACCACATTGCAGTTGTCTTCATATCTTCATTTTCTTTAGATTGGGAGTTCCCCTACGAGAGTTGTGCATATTCTTCTTGGAGTCCCCCCATACTAGCATATTGCCTGGCACACAGTAATAGTGCTTCATAAATACTTTGGAGAGAATAATGAAACCTCCCCTCCACATTGTCTTAGTCCATAACAAATTACTATAGACTACGTGGCTTCTAAACAGAAATGTATATCTCACAGTTCTGGAGGCTAGTAAGTCCAAGATCAAGGTGTCAGCAGAGCTGCTGTCTGGTGAGGCCCTGCTTCCTGGTTCACAGAGAGCTGTCCTTTCTGTGTCCTTATAGGGTGAAAGGGTGGGGGATCTCTCTGGAGCCTCTTTTATAAGGTTGCTAACCCCATTCATAAAAAAATCTGTCTTTTTGACCTAATCACTTCCCAAAGACCCCACCTTCTGATATCACATATGGAGATAAGGTTTTCAAAATGACTTCCATAGCCCTTCCAATTCAAACATTTCATTAAGACTAGGGCAAACTCTCTGTTGGTTCCACCCCTGTTTTTATCTTCTTTCTGCTTGTTGTGCATATTTTTTGACCATAGGAGAAGGGAAAAGGATCTGGGAGAGAGAAGTTGGAGCTCCAGCTTGTCTTGGCAATTGATTCTCTTTAGTCTGTCTTTTTTCAGGACTAGGAACTACATTTCAAGTTGAATGTGTAATGAACTATATGGGCCATGAAAATAAAGAACATTGATTGCTATAATCAGTTTCTCTCTTGGACCCAGTCATGAAGGGTCTCTGCTCTCAGCATGGTTATTTAAAGTACCTTTTCTGTCTGGGACCCTCTTTATAAGAACAGAGTTAGTGGGATCAGGGGATGTGCCAACTCCTTCTAGACTGTGCCACACACCCACCCTCTTTGCTTTTCCACTGTGCTCTGGCCACTGCTCAAGAGAGATTCAGGAGCAGAAGTTGTCCTGAGAAGAACCGGATATCTGTTACAGCATGAAGGAGGAGAAATCATGCAGAGAAAAGGAAGAAAATACAGGGGATTTTGCTAGTGAAGGACCATGACTTCTAGATGAAATAGTGGATAATGAAGGGAAATCTGGGGGCCTTAGGCTTCTTGGGTTTTCATTACCTAAAAGTTTTCTTTTGAAAATAATAGTATTAAAAAAAAACAGAAGAGGGCTGGAAAACTGGAAGGAATGCTAATGGATAGGCCCGAATATATTAATTTCCTGAAGAAGCTGAACAGTGTGAAAATCTCTGAAGGCCGCACATATGCTGATGTCAGTGCCCTGCACAGTGAGATCACCGAGGAGAATGGGTTGGTATGTCAGACAATTATTAATAGAATACTTTACAGTTGTGACACGTTATCATAGTGACAATTTCATGTCTTTGAGCACGGAGATGACTTGTGCAATACCTTTGAAACAGGATTATCTCTGTATGTTTTTTGCTTTGCAACGATTATCCCAATTTAATGTGCTAAAGTTCTCTAGGTAACTCTTCCTTGCTCAGTATGAATATCAGCCTCTAATTTTATTTCACTCTATTATCCTGCATTAGTTTATAGCTCAATTGTAGAACTCAATTCAATATGATGTATTTTAATGCTGGTCACTTTTGAGTATGTGTGACACATATTTTAAATAATGTCAACTGAAAGTTTCAATTTCAGAGACTTTCTATATAACATTCAAAACATCTCATTAAACAGATATTGAAATACCCAAGGATGGTATGGCATTTAAACATTATTTATTATGCAAGCAATTTATGTTCATTGCCGAAATACTTGAAAATAGAAAATAAAAATAAAAATAAACATAATGTCACAGCTCAGAGAGACTCACTGTTCTCTCAGATCTTTTTTCCTGTGGTCCGTAGTTACAAACGTCCACACTCACATAGATATTCTGTGTATTTATTTGTTAATAAAATAAGGCCATATTATATACAAATTCGTCTGCAATCTTCTTTCCTCCCTTAACTATTTATTTCTTGCCAGCAACAATGGAGCTACATTATTATCTGAATAGCTGCATACTGTATATTTCTGTGGGTGACTGACTTATGTAACGAGTTGTCTTACTCCAGGCTGCACAGGCTATCTTATTATTTTTTCTTGTTCTTGTAATACGATTTTACCTTTGACAGCTTTGCCAGCTGCTGGATTTCCTCCTGAGAATAAATTCTTAGAAGTGAGGCTGTGAGAGTATGGATATTTTAAGGGGTTTGGATATGACTTGTGAGTGGTTCACAGTAAGAAGTAAGAATTCTTGGATCATCTGGAGTAGAGAACGTGCTCTGCCTTCTTGGAGAAGTCTCTCTCTCTCTTTGGGTGTCTCTCCTCTGAGGGAGTCTGTTCGCAAAAATAGGCAGATTGTTTCTGTAGATATGAAACATAGGTTCAGGGTCAAAGGGCAGCCTCACTGTGTGCAAGGTGTCAGTGATTTGTTCATGAAAATGTCTTTTGATTCTGGTTGAACTTGAAATTAAATAAAATACGTGATCAATTGTTTCACACTCCTTTCTTGTTTTAGACTTTGAATACAGTGTTAAAACGAGTGCAATTCATGAGAAAAGGCGAAGAACTGACGACTTTAGCACAAAGGGGGATTGGATATCATCACAGCGCCATGTATTTTAAAGAAAGAGAATTAGTTGAGATACTCTTTGCAAAAGGGCTTATTAGGGTAGGTATGTTTCTTTGCATTTAAAAAATAATGTTGTGCATATATGATGCTGAATACCAGTAAAAGGTAAAAACTTATACCAGTTGTTTTAATCATCTAACCAGTGTCTTTTTATTACAACTCACTCAACTGCTTCTCCATCTTTCCCATTTATGAGAGGAGTTTAAAAACTATTTCTACACTTAAAAATAATATTTATACTGAAGTAGTACAGCTATTACATAACTCTTTACCCTTCAACACTTAGTATCTAGGACATAGCTCTTAAAATTTTACCCTAGAGATTTCTTAAGGATATTGATACTTTTAGTATAAATGACTATACTTTTAGTCAGACTATTTTCCAATGTCATACCTCATCTAAGAGAAAGACATTTCTTTCTTAAGAACTGGAAAAGCTTGCACTAGACTAACATGTTCTAGACAGAGTTGATAGATGTAACACCCCCAAAGGAAGTTGAAAGAGGGTAAGGAGATCTCGTAGTTAAATGTTTGTTAACTTTTTGTTGGTATGTTTCAGAAGCTTGGAACATTCTCTTTCTATGTGGAGATAGTCTCCGTAAATTCACCAAGAATGTTCATATAATTACCTAGTCAGTTTTCTTTAGGGGGATTTGGAAAAACAAGCACCAGCTTTATAGCGTGGTTGCACATATGCATGTGTGTGTCTGTGTGTGAAGAGTTGTGTAGAAGTGTAGTCATCATGCTATTCAGAGTGTTTATTTTTTGTAATCCTAAGAAGAGTGAGGAATATTAGATATCAAAAGTTGTTTCTTGCTGTTTATAAAAACAAAAGCTGCTCAGTTTTCATATAGGTATAATTTGCTTGTCATTAAATAATAAATTTGTCATATAGATATAATTTATTTGTCATTAATAACCAGAAAAAAAGTTTTCATAAAGGTTATTAATTATGGGCAGAGATCACGTCAATTTTATCATACTCAATATTGTAGACCTTGTCACATAGTAGTGGCTCAGTAAAAGGTAATGAATGAGTAAATAAGTGAATAAATAAATGAATGAATAGTCAGATCACTATAAAAGTGTTATTCTGAAAATGTGGGAGCTTGCATTTTAAAAAAAGAACACTTTTTTAAAAAAAATGATACTCATTATAGCTAAATTCTAAAGTTTACTGATTTGAGCCTTTCTATCCTTTTTATTGATGAACTTTTAAAGATGAACAAATAGTGGGTTGAATTTGGATAGGTTTATAAATATCAATTAGAAAGTCTTTGCACTTACTCTTTATCATTAAATAATTAAAATAATTATGGCACAGGTTAATATCAATGTATTTAACAGGAAGAGAGAGCAGCTATATGCACCTAGCATTAAATAGGTGAGTGGGCACATAACTGATATTAAGAAAGTAAATAAGAAGGAAAATGTAACTTTATTATGCTTTAATTAATTAGATCAGTTATCTGTTTAGATAAAACCTCCATAAACAAACATGAGAATAAGGGAAGGTGGTTGTCCAGACTATGTAAGGCAAAACATTATTACCCCATCTTAAGGAAGTTTGTATGCTGGTTGTTCATTCATTCCTGCATTCACTGGACATGTATTTATTGTGCATCTAACTATGATGCTGCAGGAAGTCTTTTTGGACATTTATATAGAGATCAGAAAGAGGCTGCAAATAGAGATTTGGGTGAAATTATTTTAGGGTGAGCAAATGTCAACAGGATGCTGAAGTAGCAGTGTTCTTTGAATAGGCAGTTGTAAGAAGAGTGTGGCTGGTATGTTAATTTTAATGACATGTGGTTTATCAAGCTCAAAGAGTTCTTCAGTCACTGGAGTGGAAAACAGATCTTGTGTCCTTATAGATATGATATATTTTGAATTAACTCTTTTTTTTCTAGGTAGTGACAGCTACTGGAGCATTTGCCTTGGGGATCCACATGCCATGCAAATCTGTTGTTTTTGCTCAAGACTCAGTCTATCTGGATGCTTTAAATTACAGACAGGTAACTCTATGACTCTGTTACTCCCACTGCTGAAAGCCAGGTGTGAAAAAGTGAACCATGTGGCATTTGCATCTGGTATCAGGTTACAGTTTCTGTTGTTCCTTTTACTTTCTATGAGGCATAGCATTTTTGAATTGAGTAACCTTATATCTTGTTGTTTCATGTTGTGTGATTAATGTTTCACTGTTTTCTCACAGTTAGAGTTTATTGACTTAATAATCTTAGTGTAGTATTTATATTTCTTGAGAAATATAGAGCTGTGCTGATTCTGAATCCTTTGTAGTGCTCTTTTATTTTATTTTTCGGGGAATATGTAAAATGGTCTGAAATTCCTTGTATTATCTGTTTCCTTTAATATGCCTTTCTCTGTGTGTGGCACTTGGTATTATAAATTCCTGGGTGTTTTGGGAATCCTGTCATTTAAATTAGGTAGGTTTTGACTTCCTTGCTGCAAATTTGAGTATTTAGGGGTCATTGACCAACTATTTTCCAAATTCTAAAACTTTAATGCAATTCACCTTCTTGGGGGTTTATGCTTTTTTTTTTTAAACTTCATTATCATTTTAGTGGAATTTCTGGAGTAATTGTTACCTGGAGGTTTCTAGATAACTTGTTAAAAATCGAGGATAAAAATGTGTCTGTATTATAAGGCCAGAAAGGAAACAGAGATAAATGAAAGAAAAACAAGGTTGAGAGTGAGAAAAATAAAAATAGAAAGGCCATATAACAGAGATTTAGACACAATGACAAAGATGTCACACCTGAGTGTCTTCTCATTTCCTTATGTGACATTCTATCTGTGACATATATTGTAAGTCAAAGAGAAGAAAAACCACCTCCTCTCTACACACGGCTAAAAAAAACTGTCAGTGATCTTTGCCTAGTCTCAAAATATGAACGATAAATTATAAAATATAAATTTTTTCATTGTGCTTATTCTTGAAATTTTTCTCTTTTCTTATTAAAATGTAGATTATGTGAACTCTCCTAGATTGGAATGTGAAGATTGTGATTTTACAGATAAAATGAGTTCATATCTATTTCATGATTTTTTTAGGATGTTGCTGTTTCAATCTTAAAAACTGTATTTTTCTTTTCTCAAGTATAGCTATGGACCATGTCACCTTTTGCACGTGCTATTATGAAAAACAGAAAGTCTCTGAGCTGGAGTTTTTCAGTCTTTCTCTTTTTTGTGCAGTGACGAAAGTTTGTCTTAAGGGACTTTTGTTTCCTTCAGAATTATAGTGTCCTTTTTCCTCCTCCTTGCCAAACTCTCTTGTTTGGAAGAAATCCAACATCATTTATTCATTATGGACCATAATGAGAATGAAACAACTTTGTTATCCTGCCCTAAGGACTTAGCATTATCTCCTAGGACAGAATAAAATATATTTTGTCTCTGGATGGATTCGTTTGTTTCTCGAGGGTCAGGTGACAGATCTTTATGGGACTTATACCCCAGAACAACTGCCTCATCATCCCAAAATGTCAGGTTGGCTCTGTTTAGGGAAATGCACCGAAATCAGAAATGTATTTCCATGCCATTTCCATGTTATTTACAGTGTGTCTATAAGGATGTGCCTTACAATGAGAACCAGAAAATGTTAGTTCTACTGCTTGCACTTGAGACCACTTAATGTTAATCGTACTCAAAGTATTTCACACAGTTCACTTTCATCATGATCCTGTATCTATAGTCTTAATTTAGCTGTCATTATTTTGATTTCATGTCAGTGTTTTGACATATCTTCAACTAGAAGTAAGCATTTACTATGTTTTATACTAAAGTTTCAAAAAAGTAAATCTACCTGTAGATTTATCTTTCTCATGCAACATAAGTTATTATTTAGAAATATAAAATTTAGTCTCCAAAGTTGGTTATGTAGGAACTGACTTCAGTGACTTTTGTCCATTGTATAAGAATCTTTTTCTTTCTCTAAATCTGCTTGAATACATGACATGAAGCTATGCATCTTCCTTTTTTTTTTTTTTAGTGCTTTCTTTTATATAGGCATCTAGTCTCATGGGAGTGTGATTTTTCCTAGCACAGCAGGTATTACAGAACCCTGAACTAAGTATTTTATATTACCTTTTTAAAGCGAAGAATACACTTTACTGTATTAATTGAAAAAAATGATAGGGATTTTCTGCTTACATGCCATTGTCTCTTTTTGGTCTTTCCATTTTCTGTCTTTTAAAAATATTTATGTATTCCTTGAAGTGGCATATTATAGTCAAATGCGTGTCATGACCTGCTCCTACATATCTTCCTCATGTCACTCAATCTTCATAGGACTATACTGCCTGTAAAATAAAGAGAATACTTGTTAGCTTCACCTTCCTGGCTTTTCTTCAATAATCAAGGAGAGCAGATTACACAAGGCTGTGAATAGCAGGAAGCTGAGATGATTAGACTCATTGGGAGCAGCCACTGAGAAAGCTGCCTACCACAGTCTGCGTCTGGGCCCCAGTGAGTCATTTCTCTCCCATAAACAAAAACACATTCACTGCTTCCCAGGGTCTCCGGAAGTCTTGCTACTGGCATAAGCCTGGGATTTCTCTAGTTATCAGAATGCCCCTTTTGCTGTCAGTCTCTTGGTGTCCTTTCCTGGGCCTCTTCACCACCGTGTCAGTGTTGTTACATTCAGCCCAGCTTGTTGCCCTGCCTCTCTTTTGCTGAGAGTTCTCACCACCGACACTGGTGGCCCGGCTCAAGTCTTGCCTCAGGTAATTATGTGCTAGGTCTTCACAGTGCTTCTGAAGGAGTGTGTGTAATGATTAATAGAGGAGCATCTGGTCCTAGATTCCCTAGGCTTGAATCTTTGCTTTACTCTTTACTTGCTGTGCAATCACGAACAAGTTAGTTAATTTCTTGGGTGTCAGTTTCTCAATCTATACAATGGTGACAGTGATTATATTTCAGAAGGTGATTATGAGGACTAACTGAAAAGTGTACACCACTCAGAGCTGTGCCCAGTACAAAGTAAGTGCCCAATGAATGCCAGCTGTTATTAGTAGGGCCCTTTGCATTCTGCTCACCATGTGATTTTTAAAAAATATGTATATTTATTTCTTGTTCTTTCCTAGTGAGAACCTTCTGGCACAAATTGTTTTAGTAATTGACCTCTCATTTCTGTTATACCTTGTTCATCAGGACCTCTGCTCTGCTTTTTCCTCTTAGAGACTTTTCCTTTTCTACTGACTGAAATTCTAGCCCCTTTTATAAGTTTCTGATTGAACTGTTGTTATTTGTTTTCTTTCAAGTTTTCTTTGATTACTCCAGCTTTGGGGAAATGTGATTGTGCTTGTTTGGTCACATGCACTGTACTCTTGTAAATTCCATGAAGGAATTTGTATCCCTAATAACAATTAGCATGGGAGTGACGAGATGCTCGCAGTGTTTGTGGAACTGATGATTTCTGCTGTGCAATTGCATCCATCTATGCCTGGCTGCCATTTTCAGTTGTGTTATAATGAAAACCATGATGATGGAAAATCTGTGGGCATGAGGTGATTATTGCCAAACAGATGTGAGACCTCAGGTGAGATGTCTACATGGCGGGATCTTCCTTCACCATCTCCATCTCCAGAATGTCCATGATAATCACCACCCCACAGCCTTGGTAAGGGTTAAGTGAATAGGAAAAGACACATTGAAGGTTTTTAATAAACATTTCCTCTTTCATTTACTACGCACACTTTTTCACTCTGGAGTTCTTTAATGCCTTTCTCTCCTTTGCTTTTGATGCTTAATCTATTTCAAAAAGCATCTGATGACTGTCCTGTCATGGTGTCTCAGGTTTCTGTCTTACAATTTCTGTAGCAGCACCCTTCTTCCTTCATTCTTTACCCAGGATTATTATAAGAGTGTTAACAAAAGGACATGAGATCTGCAGAGGCAAAACAGAGTTTTATTTTCTGTAGAAAACAATCTGCAGATTGGAGAAACTCAGCCTTTACTGCAAGTGAAAGTGTGCTCTCCAAAGAACAAAGGGAGGGTTTGGCTTAACTACTAAAAGTTCTCAACCTTGTTTTCAATCAGATCCTCTTTTTGGAAAATGAAGGATTCAAGCTTCTTCAGCTCTGATTGGTTGAAATAGTTGACCCTGACTGAGTGGTTTCCAAGGTCCTAAACCAGAAGTTTCCATCAGATGTTTCTTTCAAACAGCTAGGAGTGGGGCTTTCCAACCACAGTTGATCTTGGCACCACCAAAAGCAGCTGGTTTGGCTTGATTGCAGGAAGGGAGGTCCTTTGACACCTTTACAGCATTTTTCTGAGAACACAACGTCCATGACCACTCCCTCACCCTGCCATGGCTGCCTGGTTCTGTTTTAATTTTGAGCACCTCAGCCACAGGAGTCTGTTCTATCTGTTGGCCAGGGACATTCTTTAACAACAGTCCTCCTGGTTCTCATTTGCCTGTATTCTATTCTGTGCTACAGATGATGGATAGCATATTTTCTTCATGTCATCTCCGATGAGGGAATATTGATGCTAATTCTACTCTAGGATGAAATATAGCAGTGTTGGCAATATTCAAGCCCTGTGTCAACAAGATCCCTTTGCTCTCTATCTAAAATATGTATGTTCTCATGCTCATGAGGATTCGTCCTAATCAATCTAATCTTCTTACTGTTTCCAACCTTCTTTCTAATCTCTGTCTTCTTACTTTCTTCTCTGCAGTCATTTTTTTGCATGGGTTGTCTACCCTATAATCTTCAGGAATCTAATTTTTAGGATTCCAGAGGCAGGCTCACATGGTCTCTGAGGACTTTGATTAAAAAATATCAGGGATTGGTTGATTCTGCTACTTCTGTTGGATTGTGGCTACATGACTTCTCTGCCCTCAGTTTTCTTATCTTTGTTCTTTTTTTTTTCCACATCACACTGGAAGTCCTGCTTTATTTTTAAATAGGGCTGACAATACTCTCTACCTCACCAGATTATTACAAAGCCTAAAACTAATTTATATAAAGGGCCTAGTACATACTAAGCATTGAATACATGGCTGTTAGTTCTTCTACAAAGAGTTGGTCCTTAACATACCTCTTCCACGAAGCCTTTCAAAATGTTGTCTCATTCAACATATATGATATGTATCTCAAGGAGCTTAGGCACACTTTTTAACTTTTATTATTTTTAACTCTATTTGTTAAAAGAGTTAGAGAAAATGACTTAAATAGGGAACAGTTCCAAGTATGGTTGGAACTCTCCACATCTAGCTGTTTGAAAGAAACATCTGACAGAGTCTTCTGGTTTGGAGCTTGAAACCACCCAGTCAGGGCTCAACTATTCCAACCCATGAGAACAGAAGAAGTTTGAATCCTTCATTTGCAAAAAAGTTTCCCTAGTTAAGCCACTCTCTAGTTCTATTCCTCTCTCTCTCTCTCTCTGTCTCTTCTCTCTCTTTCTCTCCCCCTCCGTGTGTATGTGTGTGTGTGTGTGTGGTGAGAAAGAGTGGGGGTATATGGAATGTAAGCTCCTGGAGAGCAGGTTTCATTTGTAAGTTTCTTTTACATATCATTGTGCAATGCCCAGTACAGTTGTCTGATAGGGATACCTGTTAATGACACTGCCTCTGAATATGAGGAAGAACACAAACTGCTTTTTCTATTCTCTCACTCTATAATAATCACTACAATCAACACAGAAGACTTCTGTGACCAAATGTTTGGGATTTCTGCCCACCACCAAGTGAGCAATCAGTTCTGTAGCTCAATTTAATTCCACATTACCTACCTGAAGATAGTGTTGGATTCCACACACTGAGGGCTCAGTTCCCAAGACTGCCCCCTCTTCCAATACCAGTCACGAGTCTGGTTCTCTGGAACTTAAGACCAATTGGCTTCAAGTTAGTGTTCCCATGACCCTCTCTTTGGGTTCAATTAATTTGCTAGAGTAGCTCATCAAACTCAGAAATGCTTATATTTATCAGTTTATTATAAAGGATGTTATAGCAGATACAGAAGAGCTGTGAGGGCAAGGTATGGGACCAGGAGCTTCCATGCCCTCTTCAGGGCACACCACCCTCCAGGAACCTCCATATGTTTAGCTGTCTGGAAGCTCTTTGAGACAGTCCTTTTAGGTTTTTATGAAAACGTCATGACACATGCCTGATGAATTGGCCATTGGTGATCACCTTAACCTTTAACCCTTCTCCCTCCCCTGGAAATTGCAAGAAGGGGCTGAAAGTCTCAGTCCTCTAATCATGCCTTGGTCTTTATGGTGACAAGTCCCTATCCCAAAGCTGCCTAGAGACTGCCAGCCATCAGCCAACTCATTAACATACAAAGATACTGGAGAGTCCAAGGATTTTAGGAATTATATGCCAGCAAACTGGGTCTAGGACCAAATATGCATCACAATGCCTCCCTCATTATCTCTTTTGCCCAGCCACACTGTATTTTTTAAATGCCATATTAACAGGGATTCATTTCAGGACTAAATGCACAGTTTAACGCAGTCCAGGATAACAAGTGTAAAGTCATAGATCTTTTGAATTCCTAGGAAATTATTTAAGGAGGTTTTACATTGTGATCCTTTGCTGCTTCCAGATGTCTGGTCGTGCTGGAAGAAGAGGTCAAGACCTGCTTGGAGATGTCTATTTCTTTGATGTCCCATTGCCCAAAATAAAAAGACTCATTGCATCCAATGTTCCTGAGCTGAGAGGGCAGTTTCCTCTCAGCATAACCCTGGTCCTGCGACTCATGCTGCTGGCTTCCAAGAAAGATGACCCAGAGGATGCCAAGGCGAAGGTACCATGCTAGACCCTGCCTGAGGTTCAGTCTTCATCACTGGCCTGGCTGTAGTCAGGTCTGCTGCTCTTTTAGAAGTCTGTGGTGAGAAAGAAAATAAACTTTCTTTTCGGATTTTTTTTTTTTTTTTGGAGACAGGGTCTCACTGTATCACCTAGGCTGGAGTGCAGTGGTGCAATCATGGTTTACTGCAGTTTTAATCACCTGGTCTCAAGTGATCCTCCCACCTCAGCATCCCAAGTAGCTGGGAATACAGGTGTATACCACTGGGCCCAGCTAATTTTTATTTTATTTTTTTGTAGAGATGAGGTCTCACTATGTTGCCCAGGCTGGTCTCAAACTCCTGGGCTGAAGTAGTCCACCCACTATATTAGTCAGGGCTCTCTAGAGTGACAGAACTAATAGGATACACACATAAATATATATGTATATATATGTGTGTGTGTGTATATATGTATATAAAGGGGAGTTTATTAAGTATTTTAACTCACATGATCACAAGGACCCTCAATGGGCCATGTGCAAGGAAGTCAGTCTGAGTCCCAAAATGGAAGAACATGGAGTCCAGTATAGGCTGGGAGCCTAAGCCAGTCTAGCCTTTTCACATTTTTCTGCCTGATTTATATTCTGGGAGCTGATTAGATGGTGCCCACCCACATTAAGGGTGGGTGTGTCTTTTCCAGCCCACTGACTCAAATATTAATCTCTTGGCAACACCCTCACAGACACACCCAAGATCAATACTTTGCATCCTTCAATCCAATCAAGTTGATACTCAGTGTTAACCATCACACTGGACTTAGCCTCCCCAAATGTTGGGATTAGAGGTGTGAGCCACCACGCCTGGCCAAGAAACTTTTTATCTGAGGAATGTGAGTGCCCTTTAATTATCAGGCCCAGAGAGGCAAATAATTACCTCTTGAAGCCACTTGCTCTGTGGGCTCTAGGCTAACTGACATGAAGTAGCCATAAAATGCCATACTTTGGACACCATACCTCATTCCCTGTAGTTCAACAATGTATAGCCAAGCACAAATCAATGTTATTTCTGTAAAACTATGAGAACTCCTGTCAAAAGAAGTTTGTATCAGCCCACTTCTTGTCCCCTTTTGCCTTTAAAAATCTGCTTTTAACAAAGACTGAACTGAATACTTCCCGGGACAACTTGGAAGTGTGTCTGTCCCAGACAACTGTCCACAACCTTGGTCCAAATGAACTCTCTATATTAATTTTGCCTCAATATTTTTAGGTCAACAGTAGCAATAACTCTTCAGTTTCATCACTGTTTTAATGCTTTCTATTTTTTTTTATTATTATATGTTTATTCAGGACAGAAAATAAATAATTAGTTTTGTTTTACCATGAAAGACCATAAGGCATTAAGAATCACCAGGGCTATTTTAATGTGTGAAAAGCAATATAGTATGGTGGTTGAATATTGGCTATAGACTTATAAAGGTCTGGAATAGATCCCTGGTTCAATTATTTACTGACTATTTAACTTTAGGAAAGGCAATTACATTTTCCTAAACCTCTGAACTTTCATCTATAAAATGGCAATAACAACCACTATATATTGTAGTTAAATTAAATGAACTCATTAATCCAAATCAAGGACTTCCTAGCATCATATTCCACTAGTAGTAAACATATAAATGCTAGCTACTCTCATTGGTAGTTTCAGGTCTTATGATTTTAGTTTTAGATTTTTTGTTTTGTTTCATTTTGCTTTAGTGTTCTTTAAAGAGAAGAATGGAAAAAGCACTTTGCTAACTTTTTCCTTCTTTTTATATGTTGTTATTTACTTTTTCCTTTATAAAGGAGATCAAGTATGAGTGAACACTGATAAAATAACTTAGTTTGTGACTGTGTGTATGTGTGTGTGTATATATATATATACAGTGGTAAAACAGATTTGCATGTACCTTAAATTCTGTTATGTTGTCAGCATTTGCTACTTAATTAATTGGATAAATAAGAAATTTCTACATTAAAGTATTATTAGAAGAATTGTAATTGAAATGAAAGGTTGGATTTGCTCTCAAATGTATCATTCTTAATTCCAGACAAGAGCCTCATTCTTATCTGGAATTCAATACTGTTTCCTCAAAGAGTATTGCTGTTTTAAAAATAAAAATTATATGTTAAATATAAAATAACCTGTTTATAAAAGACCATTTGGAAATAGAAAAGCTGAAAGGAGGAAAAAAACCCATACTTAGTTCCACTACTCCAAGGAAACTGATTTATTATTCTGGTATATTTCTTCCAGTCTTTTCTACTTAAATGTGGGTGACTGTGTTTTAAAAAATGGATGCAGGTGTATTAAATTAGATATCAGAATTTGGTAAACTTGCCTGAGGTTTTTAATCAGAACAATTTTGAGAGGCATATTGAGGAATATACAATTCACATTAAAATTTAAATTTAAATGTCACTGTAAGGTTATCAAGTTTTCCATATTCTTATATATTCATTATGATGGTCAGTTACATCAGATTCCACTTTCCAAGAGGAAGAGTCTTCCCAGAACCCTGTAATGAGTCAGGTGTGTGCCTGCTGAACACCCAGTTCTATGTAAAAGTGGCCCCATTCTTGAGCTCTTAATTTTGATTAATCTCCCAGGAAGACAGAGTAGTAGTTCAAGGTCTTTGTTGTTGTTTTTTATATAATAAAGTTTATGAGGGTGGGATATTTTCGGGGCTCCTGCATATTTGAAGATATTTTTGTTTTTTCATAGTAAGGATGATTTCACTAGGCATAAATTTACTGGATTTGAGGCATTCGTCTTCAAAATTGTTGATGCTTCATTTTCTTTGGCTACTACTATTGCAGAGATGTAATCTGTGGCCCTACTGATCGCTGTTTTCTTGTAGGTCACCTGACTTTTTCTGCCCATGTATATGGATCCTTTTCTTTATTTTTATATGTTACTTTTTTAGGAGAAGTTTCTAGTTATAGTTTTTTTTTTGTAAATTGATAGTGTTTATCACATGCAGAACCTTTTCATTTTATCACATTCAAGTTGTTTTTGAAGTAAGAAGTATATTTATTAAATTAGATTTTCAATTTGGTTTCTATTTTAATTGTTTTGATTTCTTTATTAGAAAAAGTTTCACTGGCTGGGTATGGTGGCATATACCTGTAGTCCCAGCTATTTGGGAAGCTGAGGCAGGAGGATCACTTGAGTCCAGGAGTTTGAGGTTACAGTGAGCTATGATCTCCTGCACTCCAGCCTGTGATGGGAGGGAATGCTGCAAAGGTTTCTGAAATACCTTTGAGGCCTTTTCCAGTTGTCTTGGCTATCAGCATTTGCCTTCCTTTTGGTTATACAAATATATGCAGGCTGCTTGAATTCCTTCCCAGAAAGTAGGCTTTTCTGTCACGTGGCTAAGCTGAAAATGTTCAGACTTTTACACTTTGCTTCCCTATCAAATACAAGCTCCAGTTTCAGGTCATTTCTTTGCTAACACGTATGTGCATAGGAAGGTCGAAGCAGCCAGGCTACATCTTGAACACTTTACTGCTTAGAAATTTGTTTCTGCCACATACTCTAAGTCATCTGTTTGTTTTTTTCTTTTTTTTAAATTGCATTTTAGGTTTTGGGGTACATATGAAGAACATGTAAGATAGTTGCATAGGTACACACGTGGCAGTGTGATTTGCTGCCTTCCTTCCCTTCACCTATATCTGGCATTTCTCCCCATGCTATCTCGACCCAACTCCCCACCTCCCACTGTCCCTCCCTTATTCTCTCAACAGACCCCAGTGTGTAGTGCTCCCCTCCCTGTGTCCATGTGTTCTCATTGTTCATCACCCACATATGAGTGAGAACATGTGGTATTTCATTTTCTGTTCCTGTGTCAGTTTGCTGAGAATGATGTTCTCCAGGTTCATCCATGTCCCTACAAAGGAAACGAACTCATCGTTTTTGATTGCTGCATGATATTCCATGGTGTATATGTGGCACATTTTCCCAGTCCAGTCTATCATCGATGGGCATTTGGGTTGATTCCAGGTCTTTGCTATTGTAAACAGTGCTGCAATGAACATTCGTGTGCATGTGTCCTTATAGTAGGACGATTTATAGTCCTTTGGATATATACCCAGTAATGAGATTGCTGGGTCAAATGGAGTTTCTATTTCTAGGTCCTTGAGGAATCGCCACACTGTCTTCCACAATAGTTGACCTAATTTGCACTCCCACCAGCAGTGTAAAAGTGTTCCTATTTCTCCACATCCTCTCCAGCATCTGTTGTCTCCAGATTTTTTAATGATCGCCATTCTAACTGGCGTGAGATGGTATCTCCAATGTAGTTTTGACTTGCATTTCTCTAATGACCAGTGATGATGAGCATTTTTTCATATGTTTCTTGGCCTCATATATGTCTTCTTTTGCAAAGTGTCCATATCCTTTGCCCACTTTTGAATGGGTTTGTTTTTTTCTTGTAAATCTGTTTTAGTTCTTTGTAAACTCTGGATATCAGCCCTTTGTCAGATGGGTAAACTGCAAAATTTTTTACCATTCTGTTGGTTGTCGATTCACTCTAGTGACTGTTTCTTTTGCCGTGCAGAAGCTGTGGAGTTTGATTAGGTCACATTTGTCTATTTTGGCTTTTGTTGCCAATGCTTTTGGTGTTTTGGTCATGAAGTCCTTGCCTACGCGTATGTCCTGAATGGTTTTGCCTAGGTTTTCTTCCAGGGTTTTTATGGTGTTAGGTCTTATGTTGAAGCCTTTAATCCATCTGGAGTTAATTTTAGTGTAAGGTGTCAGGAAGGGGTCCAGTTTCTGCTTTCTGCACATAGCTAGCCAGTTTTCCCAACACCATTTATTAAACAGGGAATCCTTTCCCCATTGCTTGTTTTTGTCAGGTTTATCAAAGATTGTATGGTTGTAGATATATTGTGTTGCCTCCGATACCTCTGTTCTGTTCCATTGATCTATATCTCTGTTTTGGTACCAGTACCATGCTGTTTTGATTACTGTAGCCTTGTAGTTT